TTTCTTTAACCTATAATGTATATAATGTAACTCATAGTAATTTATTTGGTTTTATTTTTTTATTATAGTTATTATTGAACTTTAAGGTATAATTTTAAAATTTAGTAGACCCAATTATCTTTTATTTTCATTTTACAAAATTATGTGTTTTTTTTTCAATTTGGTTAAAATTTTAGAATGAATTGCATTACTTTTGAAGTTTAATGCTCTTTTATAACTTACAATTAAGTTCTTCGTTTTGTTAAGTACTTCTGAATATATCTTTCCTCAGGTGAGGATCGATTGAATAGTGGCTTGGTGTCCAACGCTGCTGTAACTGCTTGGCTCAATAATACAAGCCCCGTTGAAGATCTGGCCAAATTCGAAGAATTTGAAATGGATATCGGCAATCAGCAGATAGACGAGAGAACAGTGGATTTAGAGATTGTGCAAGTGGACGTAAAATGCGAGGAGATTGTCTTTGAAGAAAGATCAGAAAGACAGGACGAAAGTGAAAAGTATGAAACACGGCTATAAAAAGCAGTGTTGTTGTTTTGTTTTGTTTTTATTAAAAACTAGGTAACGGCTAAATACAATACATTTTTGTGGGGTTTTTTTGTTTTGATGTTTAAAATTCCCTTTTTAATAATATCGATATTTTGGTGAGGTTTTAATACATTTTTCGAAAGTTCATTGGAAACCGCAAAACGTGCTTAGCAGCACCCGTTCGTTTTATTGTAGGTATGGGTAAGAACGTTTTTCTTTCAATTTCATCTTTAAAGTGGATGTAAAAAAAATGAACATTTTATATTTTAAGAAACAGTATAATAAAATGTATAAATTTATAGAAATTGAAACTATTTTTCTCCTGTACGTTTACATTTGTAATTATTGATATTAACCCGACATTTCAAAACAAAGGGTCATTGTTTTAAGACAACGTTTGATTGGCTTTATCATGTGGTCGTGATTTTATTCCTGGCATCACCACTTGTTGTTCAAAATATTTCAAGTAAATGCCTTTAAGAAACTTATACTTTTGAAAGACGGCATGAAATGGTTAGGACCTGTTTGTTTACATTCCAAATGTAAAAATGAGAAAAAAATTTAAAATTTTTTTTTGGCTTACCTTAAATTTTGTTTAAATTAAGAAATTAGGAGTAGTTCATAAATGACGTCACATTCACAGGGAAGAGGGGGGGGGGGGGGTCCATAATTTGTTGACGATGTGTGATGAGAGGAAGGGTGGAATGTTCAGATGGTGTGACGGCACACTTTTGCATTATTAAAAAATCAATGATAGAAAACGAATTTTAACCGTTATTTCGCATTTTAGAAAACTGTTTTGATTAATAGTAACAGAAATTGATTAAAATACTCTATATTTACGGTGTTCGGACAAGATTTTTGATGTTTTAAGAAAAAGTCAACTGCAATTTTGAGTGAGGTTGTAGGCTGAGGTGTGACGTCAGTTTAGTGGGGGGGGGGGGTCTGGCTTTTTTGAATTTGTGTGACGGAGGGGAGGGAGGGGGTAAAAATCGTCATTTATGGATGACCCTTTACTTAAAACATGAAATAAATTAAATCTTCAAAAAGTCAAACTACCAAATCAGGTTTTTTAATAATCACATCTGTTTTAATAACACGTGATACGATTTCTTGAGAGTTTTTCTAGTCGATGCTATTTGAATTTTATTAACTATTTAAGTCGTAATCTTATAATAAAATGTATTTTGAACAATTTTTAAAATATTAATAATCCCAATAGTTCCCTAGAGAAATTGCTATCAGACAATTATGTAAATATTTATGTAAATTAGTAAAACATTTTTACTTTACTATTTTAAATTACATTTCTTATATAATTTACTATTTTAGTCGGCTATGTTATATATTGCAATGGTTGACTATACATATTGTTTCTATGAATGAGTATCATTGTGTTCATTAGACTCTAATAATTAGTCTAGTAAATAATAGTTGGTTTTTTGTTGTTTTGTGAATTTATAAAAAACGTGTTTTTAAGAACACTCTATAAACTGTTTTATCACATTCAATTTTTTAAAGACTATTTAAATCAGCAATATTTTATTTAAAGATACAATAATGTCCAAACTTTTCTAATGATAATAGGTACACACCTTTGTTAAACTAACTAGACAACTTGATAGTAAGGCTTGAATTTACAGTCATTTTGTAAATATTTCTGCATATTTGTAAAAGTAAATATACTTATGTAACTTAATTATAAAAATATTAAAATTATTGTGGGATCAGCACTTATATTATTTTGTAGTCATTTAATGTACTGAACCTATGAAGGAGTAAGCCTATAAGATTATATTTCCTCGAAGATCGAGATTAAGATTAATTGATTTTAAACAAGCTGAAAACACCTAGGTGAATTTAGCTAGTCAATTGTTGTAAAAGGACCATGTATTATCAATTCGACAAAATCACAAGATATACATATACATTGACGTTTATAACTGCAAGCTGATATGTTTTCATTATAAAGGGGGGTCGTTTGGACTTTTGTATTTTGCAACAATGTGTGATTGGGGAGGGGGGGTCAGATTGTATTACGTCATGTATTCTCATTTTCATCTGATTTGTTGCAGTAATGTTGCACTTTATATTAATTTAGTTTTTGTAAACAGTTATTATAATGTATGAATATACCTTATGCACACAAACGAATTTGACGAGTTGGGTTCAATTACTTTTTGTTGTTGTCAATCTTGCCTTCTTAGCGCAGGGGCGTACTGGCTCATTCCGGCGCTCTCAGGTGAACTTATATTTTTGCGCCTCCCATATATATATATATATATATATATATATATATATATATATATATATATATATATATATATATATATCATCACCATCATCACCAGCATCAGCATCATCATTCCAGTAGGCCTCTTGTGGAGCATGGGGACGCTACCACACCTCTCCATAGTACTCAGTTCTGGTCGAACCCTTCACGTTGTGTCCACGACATTCAGGCTGCTTCTGCTTTTCCTAAAGCTGACATTTTTCAAGTTTGTTTTGGCTAACTTTCTTTCGTCTTTCCTTGGGGATTCTAATCTAGAGCATGTCTGGTGATGTTGCTAGTGTGTCCAATCCATCGCTGTTTGCGCTTTTGAATTTCTTTGAAAACTGGGTCTTGCCCAGTGTGATGATGCAAGTTTAGGTTATAGAGGTCAAGTAGAAGATAGCCGAAACAGAGCCTAGCGTAGTTAGGTAGACAAATAGATATAGAGGAGCTGACCGGTCACGTGAGACGGTCAGATGGCCAGTGAGGCGTGGGTCAGCAGTTAGAGATAGGTAGCGGTAGAGAACGGTCGGAGATATGTAAAGGTAGGTAGCACTTAGACAAAGGTAGCGCTGGGAAAGACGTAGAAGTTGAAAATAAATGTAGTGTTAGAGTTTGTCTTGGGAGTGTAGTTGTCGTTAGATAGTGTTAGTAGACAGTAAGATCTTAGGACTTAGTTAGGGTAGGAGTAGGAGATTGCTTTGTGTTGAATAACGAAACACTATAGAATATCTTGAATTGGACTTGTAAAGATTTCACTATACCGTACCAGGCGTACGTAAGAAAGGCGTTCCCTGTAGATTATATATATATATATATATATATATATATATATATATATATATATATATATATATATATATATATATATATATATATATATATATATATATATATATATATATATAGGATAGGCCTATATATAATAGAAATTTTCTACAACCCTGCATTAGATTTGGTAGAGCAGCGGTCCTCTTCAACCACCACCCTCACAACTGGTGGATCTTCTTTACCCCCACCCTCACGCCCAGTTTTTCGCCTCAGTTCGGAAATAGTAACTTTTTCAGGCCCACTTGCTTTTCAATGGGACTGATATTTTTTGTCGATGTTAGATGAGGCTGATGTCGTCCGCAAAATCTAAACCCGTCAGTTGTTTAGTGAGGGTTTACTGAATTCCAGTTTTTTTTATTTTATCGGAGCTTGATCGAGTCATTGACTGTTGTGAACACATGGACACGCTTTGAGAACACACGGACACGCTTTGTGAACACACGGACACGCTTTGTGAACACACGGACACGCTTTGTGAACACACGGACACGCTTTGTGAACACACGGACACTCCTCTTGAACACACAGACACGCCTTATAAACACACGGACACGCCTTGTGATCACACGGACGCGCTTTGTGAACACACGGACACGCCTTGTGAACAAACGGACACGCCTTGTGAACACACGGACACGCCTTGTGAACACACGGACACGCCTTGTGAAAACACGGACACTCCTCTTGAACACACAGACACGCCTTATAAACACACGGACACGCCTTGTGAACACCAAGGTGCAAATCGAAAAGTTTGTCTCCGGGCGCCGGGAAGGGTCGCTACGCCTCTGTCTCTGTCCACAGTAACAAAAGCCTTCCTGAAATTGACAAAGGCGAAATTGAGAGATGATTTCCTCTCAGTTGACTTGAATAAGTATGCGCATAGTGGCTATGTTGTCAGTACATGACACGAAAACCTGCCTACTCTGGTCTTAATTTCTTGTCCAAGGCCTCCTTCAGCGAGCTAAAAGAATTTCTTCCTTGTTGATATTAGCCTTAACGTCCATTTCATTTTTTATAATCTCACCGCTATGCCATTTTTATAATCTCAACACTATGCCATTTTTATAATCTCAACACTATGCCATTTTTATAATCTCAACACTATGCCATTTTTATAATCTCAACACCGCCCAATTTATTAACTCTCTATTAACACCACCATTTTGTTTTTAAACATCAACACAACGAATTAATATAATCTCAATACCGCCCAGTTTATAAACTCCTAACATCACCATTTTGTCTTTAAACATCAACACAACGAAAAAATATAATCTCAATACCACCTAATTTTTATAATCTCAACTCCATTTAGATTTTAAAATGCTCAAAGATGAACTCTAGAGGACAATTTGATGAGGTCATTTTGGTACAAGTATTTCTACTTCCTGTTTGGGTGTTAACTATGGCGTTTCCTTGTAAATTCTATAGGATACACATAAACTGTTGAATTTCTAAAAATACTTGGATGTGTATAGGTTAACACAATACAGAACGTAAGTCAGATCCCGTTACTCTCCTGGGTATAATTTAAAGTTAGCGATATAGATTATATCAATATGTAAGTTCCAAAATAGTTCTAGAATCTCGATCTAAATCTATTTCTAGATTTATCATAGAGGCCACTAAGTTGACGAGAGTCCTTCTGTTAATTCTATTATATAGTTCGCATGGATATAATTCGCTTTTTTTTAAAAAATATTTTGACTTCATGGGGTCATAATAATAAAAACAAATCTTAAGCTTACAATACTTTAGAAATTTAATATTTTTAGAATCAATGTTATAAAAGTTGCAAATGCTGAGAACTTGAAAATAATTTTTTTGAATTTAAGGCTACATTTACTACATTTCTATTTATTTTTAATTCATTCAGCCGGATGTTTCACTTTCGTAAGACAAACATTGATTGGCTGAACATGAACTCCGTGATCGATAGTTATTTGTTTACAAAACTTTGCAGATAAAGTTTTTAAATAACGTAATGCTATTTTAAACCACATGACTTAGTACTGTAATTTCGATTACATTGTGTATAATAAAATTTATGCTAGCCTATCGAATGCCATTGTTTATGTCGCCTTTTCCACGTGAAAACCAAATTGCTTTTGCCTTTTCACTTTCTCATACACGAAGTATAGAGAAAGTATTGCTTGCTACTTTGACAAAATTTAACAAAATTAAACTTCACCCCGATAAAACCAAGTCAATGATTATTACGACTCATCAGAAACACCTTCGTCTTCCATCTACCTCATTATGCATTACTATTGACAATACAAACATTGAACAGGTTAACAGTTACAAATGCCTAGGATTGATTATAGATCACAACCTCACTTGGTCCGATCATTTTCAACTAGCAAGGATAAAGAACCTTCTGGACTATAGGAGCAGGCTGGTTTTTTACTTTCTCGTATATACGAAGTATAAAGAAAGTATTGTAATCGTGCAAAAAAAATCGAGATTTTTACAAATCTCGACGTTTTACCCCTCACTGATACGGAAAAACATAATTTTGCAATCTTGTCCGTATGTCTGTGTGTGTGTCCGTGTGTGTGTGTGTGTGTGTGTGTGTGTAAGCACGATACCTTGAATACCGTTACAGCTAGGTTAATGAACTTTTGTATATAAGTATTATATCAAATGTGTACTTTTTCTACTTTCAATTTTTCGAAAGCCGCTAACTTGAGTACTATTTCATATAGATGAATGAAATTTTACGTATAAGTAAACGATCTAATTCTCTGCCTTCTTTCAAATTTTGAACAATTTCTGTTTGACCGTAAGTAGTAATTTACTCTATTTTTGATATCTTTAAAAAAACGCATGTGAATTTATAAAGTACTAATATTCCGCACTATTCTACACATTTAGTTTGGCGTTCACGTGGTGCGCGATTCTTTTTACGAGATTCTATTCTATTTTTAAAAGTTTAAGTAATTAAAAATGGATTTAAAATATTGTCTATATACCGAGTTGCCATCCCCAATAGTGTTACATAAGAACATTCGAGAAAGTTTAGGGGAGATCACTCCCGATTTATTGTTATTATTGCTTGTTTTTCTCTATAGCAGAGGTCTCCAAACTACGGCCCGCGGGTCGAATGCGGCCCGCGAAGTCCTCTCATCCGGCCCGCGGAGATCTTTTTGTCTAAGGAAAAATTGTTGTTGGTGATGGTTGAGGAACTTTGCCCAGAGAAATCAAAGACATGCCTGGAAGAAACTGGCCCCCAAACTGAAATTTGATAGTTAATGTGGCACTCGGTCTAAAAAGTTTGGAGACCCCTGCTCTATAGGTTCAGTCCCCAAGCTCTGATCGGGAAAATACACTACGATCTGGAAATGGGGACGACCCATTTTTTTTAATTTCTCGCGCATCTTAGACACAGCCAGTCCCGCTCTAAGTAGCCTACTCTCACAAGCACACGTACACATGAACGATGCTAATTTTAAAAAAAAATTGCAGCAATTTTTTCACAACTCTGCTTTACAGCAAGTCACCCATCAGAGTCGGAAGAATGCTGTTCATTGCCTGGATTCTGAGTTCAATGTTTATCCATGCAGGTAAATTAAAACCCTACCCAATATAGTCTTTTTAAAACATATAGTATGACTATGTTGATTTTTTTTTTATAAATATAGCGAAAGTAAGATACTATAGCTATAAGAATCAAAAGAATCACCTCAATATTCTTAGATATTTTTTATTACACCAGTATAGTAATGCCTCTATTTAGGAATTTGATCCGCTCTAAGATTACTGTTTCTCCCAGACTTTTTTTCTCTGGGGAGGCACTTGGTATTTTTAGGGGGGGGGGGAGACTAAATTTTTGGGGGGAGGGGGAGTGGACACTGGTAAAAATATGTTTTTTATATAAATTCCATTTCGTTCTGGGGGAGGGCCGTAGACTTTCACGGTGAGAGGGGGAGAGAAGCCTGGAAGAAACTCTCTAAGATGGGACGATATGATACATTAGGTTTTCCCGGCTCCAGAAGGTTATAGAAATTCACAATTTAATTTGTCCAAAAAAAAATTGTAAATTTTTGCTCGAGTACACTGCATACTATATAATCGGTAACGATATAGTGGGGGGGGGGGGGGGGGGGGGGGTAAAACGGTGAAAATTGATGATCTGTTGTAAAACGGTAAAAATTGATGATTTGTTGTAAAACGGTGAAAATTGATGATTTGTTTTAAAACGGTGAAAATTGATGATTTGTTGTAAAACAGTGAAAATTGATGATTTGTTGTAAAACGATTACAATTGATGATTTGTTGTAAAACGGTGAAAATTGATTATTTGCTTTTTTCTACGACTACAATCGTCAACGTCATTTCCCGCTCGTGGCCAAGAGACCTTGGTATGTGAAGGGATAATGTGATAGGCACTATACCCAGCTGTTTTTGCTAGGTACCCATCAAAGCTGGGTGGACTTAGTTCCCTTCATTTGAATTCGAACGTCTCGGGTTAGATGTCTATCTTTCTACCGCTAGGTCACGCCGTCTACCCATTACAGTACTTTCTCTACACTCTGTACACGAGAAATTACAAACAAAAATGTGCATAGCTCAAATTTGTTTTTCCACAATCATAAACACAATGTGTATACATTAATTACCATATATATCTCCAGAGGCGTAGCGACCCCTCCCGGCAAACTTGGACAAACTTTCAATTTAGCGCCCCACACCTATATAAAATAGCAGCTAAAATGGGCTTATTTTGGCGCCCCCGAAGACATGTAACCCCCTCCCCATCCCCCCCCCCGTTGCTACGCCTCTGTATCTCTCACACTATGTGCATAATTAACATCGTATGGATGCTGTTTTTCTTTTTGTGATTTGTCGTTTTAATTGTATTTTTTTAAATATCTACATTTTAATTCAAGAAAGCAGGGGCAATGTGAACTCGCTTGAATTCCAAAGAGATCGTGGAATTATTGCCACGTTAGATGGGTACCTACCCCGCTGTACAGGGTGTGTGGTGTGGGGGAGGGACCCACTCATTGTCTATGGACGTATGCATATACCACAGGACACGTTGTACGTAATGGACGAGGCAGTATTTTTTACGATGGCTTGTGCGGTTGATTTAGATTCTTCCTATAAAAATTATGACTGCACCAACTATTCCGATCATCGTTCCTACAGCGGGGTTAGTGCTCTGCTTTTCAAAGTTTTTTTTTCAATAGATTTTGGTTAAAATACATAAGATGTTAAAGTTAATTCTATTATCGAACAGCTCAGAAAAAAATACCTCGTTAGTACACCGTCCCTGAGTCCACACAGCTCTGATAGGTACCTAACTCACATTAGGGAAAGTAAAGGCGGCTGAGCATAGTGCCAACCACACTATCTCTTCATATGCCGAGGTCACAGAAACAGGTGAACTCTTCTTCCCTTGCCCCATAGACCGTCAGGTTTGGAAGGGGAAATTTCATCTCTAGTAGTTTACAGGAGTACAAGTATTAAAACTCTAGCACCACATTGTCTAATGTGACAATCTTCAATCTATGACTTCTGTGTAACACGGCAATCATTGTTTAATGTGACAATCTTCAATCATTGTCTCATTTGACAGTGTTTATTCCTTTTCTACTGTTACAATCTTCAATCTTTGTTTACTGTTACAATCTTCCCACATACGCACATTGACTTACGAATATGTTTTTTTCTCTTCAGATTTGCATGTTTAATCATCGAATGTTCCCGCCAAATAGCTGCCAAAAATGGGAAGGTAATCCAAGGTACCAAGATGGCTGCTACTGCGACGACGGAGAACCCAAACTTTGGTATGCGTATATACCCGCAAGGCTGTTTAGAAAGACCACGATGACAATACGCTTTATTTACGATGGACGAACTCTCGGACTGCAAAGATGGTTCCCATACAGAGCTAATGATACGCTGTTCGTCAAGGACCTAATTGGTAAACTAACTCATTATGTCATAGTAATCATAGTATATTATATATTATATAGTATATCGTATATCTATTATATAGTGTGTCGTAGTCATAGTATATCATGGTAATCTGGGGAACAAAATATAGATATCAATCAATTTGCTTTGACATGCATTTATTTAAGGAGTTTAGATTATGAAAATGATAACTATAGCAATAAAGAGTCGGCCTCTGTATTGTATATTAAATATGCTTGGAATTCCCAACGTTCTACATACAAAAAAAACATGCCTGCTTAATATTTTAACTGATAGGTTACTAAGCAGAGTTTCTTCCACGCATCTCTTCTACCCCCAGTGTTTCTTCTAGACTTTTTTCTCCGGGGGGCACTTGAAATCTTCGGGGGGGGGGGGGGGGGGCGGACACTGTTAAAAGTATATATTTTCTATATAAATTATATAAATTTCATTTCGTTCGGGGGGGCGGTAAAAAAATTTCGGGGGCGGGGCTTTGCCCCCCCGAAGAGATGCCTGGAAGAAACTCTGTCTAACCCCCCTCCCCCCTCCCCGAACGAGATAGAATTGATATAGTAAACATACACTTTTACTAGTGTCCGCCCCCCCCCCCCCGAAAAAATGTTGACCGCCCCCCCCCCCCCCTCCCAAATCCCGGAGAAAAAAGTCTGGAAGAAACACTATTACTAAGAGACAATATTTAAAAAACAAAAAACACGTTGTGGTGTCTGGGATATAGTGTGCAGAAAAAGCGCCCCAATGTTTAAGAGATCCAAGAAATGTAGTACCGATTTTGTTTACATTTAAATGACAACAGTTCTAGCCGGCCGGAAATTGCACATGTGTTCGCTTGTAAAGGCTGATAGCACACGCTGATAAACTGTGTTGATATTTTCAGACCGCGGCCACATAACTCGGCCCAATCACAAGTCTACTAACAGATCCGCACGCAGGCTGACAAGTAAGCTGTCCAATTTGATACCACTAAGCCTCCATAACCAAACGTTGATTTCTTATTTTTATTATAGAAAAAATTAGGGCTGGTTTGTCTTCTTCTTCTCTTCTTCGTTCTTAATTGTAGGGGGGATTCCCCTCAACACAATTAAGGATACGTGTCAACTGGTTATGCGCCATAGAGACCGTTGACTCCGATTTCAGCCTGCTTTTCTTTTTGGATTTGCTTCCATAGCCTTTGTCCAACCAAGAACAACCTTTTCGGTTTAACAACCATGAACTTTACCGACTCGACCATGCTGGATTGTATAAGTGCAGATCTTGTCACAACCTTAATTGTATAAGGGCAGATCTTGTCACAACCTTAATTGTATAAGGGCAGATCTTGTCACAACCTTAATTGTATAAGGACAGATCTTGTCACAACCTGGATTATATAAGCGTAGATTTTATCACAACCCGGATTGTATAAGTGTAGATATTATCACTACATGGTTGGTTCAATGTAATTTGTCACAACTGCCGTTTTTCACCTTTAATGCAAAACAACATTAATATATTTGTATTTCACCACAGATCTTCTGCTGGAGTTGAGCTCAGTGGTTCTGGCCTTTGGTACCGTGGCTTCTTTCATGACTTAGACTCCGATCCTACTGACCGATGTCCAGTTGGGTGTGGCCGATTAAATATATGAACTAGACATCTCTATGGCATCATAAGATAGAATGTCCAAAAGCTTATGTTTATTGTTAGATAATGTTTATAATTATTTTTTAATTATTTTATCAGTAAAATTAAGTTTTTCCCAAACATTATGTCCATTTCTTCAACTCCAAACACAATCTTGGTTAATAGCATAATAAAACACATTTAGTTATTATATATATATATTTTTCTCAGTGATAATGGTGTCTTGATGAGCAACTTAAACGTTTTTAAATATGTAATTACTTATATAATTATCTTTAAAGTTAAGCTAAAACAAAAGATTACTTTAATCTTCAACAAACGTATATAGTTTTGTTAAGTTAAAATAATTAATGATTCGTTCTTTAAGTTTGTAACACTACATGTTTTCGTAAGTTAAATTAAATTAATTTTTTACATGTTCAACTTACAAACGCCGAAGCTCATTATTTTACGTAGGAATTTTCTTAAATACCTGGTGACACACACAGGGTAATGCAAAAGTTATTTGAGCTGGAGTATAATTATATTGAATAAATTGATGAAACGTTTTATTCTTATTTTGTGCTTTTTATTACCAGTTTTTTATTTCCTGTTTTGTATTACCTGTTTTTAATTCCTGTTTTTATTACCTGTTTTTTATTTCTTGTTTTTTATTATCTGTTTTTTATTATCTGTTTTTAATTAGCCGTTTTTTATAACCTGCTTTTATTACCTGTTATTTATTACCTGTTTTGTATTACCGGTTATTTATTACCTGTTTTGTATTACATATTTTGTATTACCTCTTTTGTATTACCTGTTATTTATTACCTGTTTTGTATTACCTGTTATTTATTACCTGTTTTGTATTACCTGTTTTGTATTACCTGTTATTTATTACCTGTTTTGTATTACCTGTTATTTATTACCTGTTTTGTATTACCTGTTATTTATTACCTGTTGTGTATTACCTGTTTTGTATTACCTGTTAATTATTACCTGTTATTTATTACATGTTTTGTATTACCTATTTTGTATTACCTGTTTTGTATTACCTGTTATTTATTACCTGTTTTTTATTACCTATTTTGTATTACCTGTTTTGTATTACGTTTTATTTATTACCTGTTTTAAATTATCTGTTATTTATTACCTGTTTTGCATTACCTGTTATTTATTACCTGTTTTGCATTACCTGTTATTTATTACCTGTTTTGTATTACCTCTTTTGTATTACATGTTATTTATTACCTGTTTTGTATTACCTGTTTTGTAAAACCTGTTTTTTATTACCTGTTATTTATTACATGTTTTGTATTACCTGTTTTATATTACCTGTTTTGTATTACCTGTTATTTATTACCTGTTTTGTATTACCTGTTTTCTATTACCTGTTTTGTATTACCTGTTTTGTATTACCTGTTATTTATTACTTGTTTTATATTACCTGTTTTGTATTACAAGTTATTTATTACCTGTTTTGTATTACCGTTTATTTATTACCTGTTTTGTATTACCGTTTATTTATTACCTGTTTTGTATTACCTGTTATTTATTACCTGTTTTATATTACCTGTTTTGTATTACCTGTTCTTTATTACCTGTTTTGAATTACCTATTTTGTATTACCTGTTTTTTATTACATGTTTTTTATTACCTGTTGTTTATTAGCTGTTATTTATTACCTGTTTTCTATTACCTGTTAAATATTATCTGTTTTGTATTATCTGTTTTGAAATACCTGTTATTTATTACCTGTTTTGTATTACCTGTTATTTATTATCTGTTTTGTTTTACCTGTTTTGTATTATCTGTTATTTATTACTTGTTTTGTATTACCTGTTAGTTATTACCTGTTTTGTATTACCTATTTTGTATTACCTGTTTTGTAATACCTGTTATTTATTACCTGTTTTGTAATACCTGTTATTTATTACCTGTTTTGTATTACCTGTTATTTATTACCTGTTTTGTATCACCTGTTTTGTATTATCTGTTATTTATTACCTGTTTTGTATTGCCTTTTTATTTATTACCTTTTTTGTATTACCTATTTTGTATTACCTCTTTTGTATTACCTGCTATTTATTACTAGTTTTGTATTACCTGTTTTGTATTACCTGTTTTGTATTACCTGTTTTGTATTACCTGTTATTTAATACCTCTTTTGTATTACCTGTTATTTATTACCTGTTTTGTATTATCTGTTTCTATTACCTATTTTGTATTACCTGTTATTAATTACCTGTTTTGTATTACCTGTTATTTATTACCTGTTTTGTATTACCTGTTATTTATTACCTGTTTTATATTACCTGTTTTGTATTACCTGTTCTTTATTACCTGTTTTGTATTACCTATTTTGTATTGCCTGTTTTTTATTACCTGTTTTGTATTACCTGTTCTTTATTAGCTGTTTTTTATTACATCTTTTGTATTACCTGTTAATTATTATCGTTTTTGTATTATCTGTTTTGAATTACCTATTATTTATTACCTGTTTTGTATTACCTGTTATTTATAATCTGTTTTGTATTACCTGTTTTGTATTATCTGTTATTTATTACCTGTTTTGTATTACCTGTTATTTATTACCTGTTTTGTATTACCTATTTTGTATTACCTGTTTTGTATTACCTGTTATTTATTACAAGTTTTGTATTACCTGTTTTATATTACCTGTTTTGTATTACCTGTTATTTATTACCTGTTTTGTATTACCTGTTTTGTATTACCTGTTTTGTATTACCTGTTATTTATTACCTGTTTTATATTACCTCCTTTGTATTACCTGTTATTTATTACCTGTTTTGTATTACCTGTTATTTATTACCTGTTTTGTATTACCTGTTATTTATTACCTGTTTTATATTACCTGTTTTGTATTACCTGTTCTTTATTACCTGTTTTGAATTACCTATTTTGTATTACCTGTTTTTTATTACATGTTTTTTATTACCTGTTGTTTATTAGCTGTTATTTATTACCTGTTTTCTATTACCTGTTAAATATTATCTGTTTTGTATTATCTGTTTTGAAATACCTGTTATTTATTACCTGTTTTGTATTACCTGTTATTTATTATCTGTTTTGTTTTACCTGTTTTGTATTATCTGTTATTTATTACTTGTTTTGTATTACCTGTTAGTTATTACCTGTTTTGTATTACCTATTTTGTATTACCTGTTTTGTAATACCTGTTATTTATTACCTGTTTTGTAATACCTGTTATTTATTACCTGTTTTGTATTACCTGTTATTTATTACCTGTTTTGTATCACCTGTTTTGTATTATCTGTTATTTATTACCTGTTTTGTATTGCCTTTTTATTTATTACCTTTTTTGTATTACCTATTTTGTATTACCTCTTTTGTATTACCTGCTATTTATTACCAGTTTTGTATTACCTGTTTTGTATTACCTGTTTTGTATTACCTGTTTTGTATTACCTGTTATTTAATACCTCTTTTGTATTACCTGTTATTTATTACCTGTTTTGTATTATCTGTTTCTATTACCTATTTTGTATTACCTGTTATTAATTACCTGTTTTGTATTACCTGTTATTTATTACCTGTTTTGTATTACCTGTTATTTATTACCTGTTTTATATTACCTGTTTTGTATTACCTGTTCTTTATCACCTGTTTTGTATTACCTATTTTGTATTGCCTGTTTTTTATTACCTGTTTTGTATTACCTGTTCTTTATTAGCTGTTTTTTATTACATCTTTTGTATTACCTGTTAATTATTATCGTTTTTGTATTATCTGTTTTGAATTACCTATTATTTATTACCTGTTTTGTATTACCTGTTATTTATTATCTGTTTTGTATTACCTGTTTTGTATTATCTGTTATTTATTACCTGTTTTGTATTACCTGTTATTTATTACCTGTTTTGTATTACCTATTTTGTATTACCTGTTTTGTATTACCTGTTATTTATTACAAGTTTTGTATTACCTGTTTTATATTACCTGTTTTGTATTACCTGTTATTTATTACCTGTTTTGTATTACCTGTTTTGTATTACCTGTTTTGTATTACCTGTTATTTATTACCTGTTTTATATTACCTCCTTTGTATTACCTGTTATTTATTACCTGTTTTGTATTACCTGTTATTTATTACCTGTTTTGTATTACCTGTTATTTATTACCTGTTTTATATTACCTGTTTTGTATTACCTGTTCTTTATTACCTGTTTTGTATTACCTATTTTGTATTGCCTGTTTTTTATTACCTGTTTTGTATTACCTGTTCTTTATTAGCTGTTATTTATAACCTGTTTTGTATTACCTGTTAATTATTATCGTTTTTGTATTATCTGTTTTTAATTACCTGTTTTGTATTACCTTGTATTTATTACCTGTTTTGTATTACCTGTTATTTATTTCCTGTTTTGTATTACCTGTTTTGTATTACCTGTTATTTATTACCTGTTTTGTATTACCTGTTTTGTATTACCTGTTTTGTATTAAATGTTTTGTATTACCTGTTATTTATTATCTGTTTTGTATTACCTGTTATTTATTACCAATTTTGTATTATCTGTTTTGTATTACCTGTTTTGTATTACCTGTTATTTATTACCTGTTTTGTATTACCATTATTTAGTACCTGTTTTGTATTACCTATTTTGTATTACCTGTTTTGTATTACCTGTTATTTATTACCTGTTTTGTATAACCTGTTATTTATTACCTGTTTTGTATTATCTGATTCTATTACCTGTTTTGTATTACCTGTTATTTATTACCTGTTTTGTATTACCTTTATTTATAACTTGTTTTGTATTACCTGTTATTTATTACCTGTTTTGTATTACCTGTTATTTATTACCTGTTTTGTATTATCTGTTTCTATTACCTGTTTTGTATTACCTGTTATTTATTACCTGTTTTGTATTACCTGTAATCTATTACCTGTTTTGTATTACCTGTTCTTTATTACCTGTTTTCAAAAACAGTTATTTTGTTATTTTGCAACAATGTGTGATTAGGGGGGGGGGGGTCAGATTGTATTACGTCATGTATTCTCATTTTCATCTGATTTGTTGCAGTACTTTTGCACTTTATATTAGTTTAGTTGTTGTAAACTGTTATTATAATTTTTGAATATACCTAATGTACACAAACGAATCTGGCCAGTTGGGGTCCATTAATATTGTTTTTGTCAATCAATCTCGCCTACTTAGCGCAGGGGCGTACCGACTCATTCCGGTGCTCATGTGAACTTATAATTTTGTGCCTCCCATATTTATATATATTATATATATATATATATATATATATATATATATATATATATATATATATATCATCACCAGCATCAGCATCATCATCATTCCAGTAGGCCTCTTGTGGAGCATGGGAACGCTACCACACCTCTCCATAGTACTCAGTTCTGGTCGAACCCTTCACGTTGTGTCCACGACATTCAGGCTGCTTCTGCTTTTCCTAAAGCTGACATTTTTCAAGTTTGTTTTGGCTAACCTTCTTTCGTCTTTCCTTGGGGATTCTAATCTAGTGCATGTCTGGTGATGTTGCTAGTTGGTTTACGCCT